GTAGTACCGCGCTCAACTCGTTTCTCCGCGCAGCGGCCTTGCTCGTCAAGGTTCGTGTTTCGGAGTTATAGAGTTGAGAGAGGGTTATAACCACAAATAAGTAGCCTCCTCGTCTGTAGTGGCCTTCTCGGCCTTGAGGAGGTGAATTAAAATAAAAAAAAAAAAAAAAAAAAGTTTACGAAAGATCCAAAGTCCTTTACCCAATCTTTCAAGGAAACCATTTTGGATTTGGATTTGTTTGATCCAAGGCTCCAGTAGCAGTATTTTGAAAAAAAAAAACATCATTTGATAACAAAATGAGGCAATAATCATAAAGTTCGTTGTATGACTGAAAAATAACCTAAAGATTAACAAAAAATCACTTTACAGTAGCCAAAGTGTTAATTTATCTATTGTAATTAGGGTAAGATAGGCACAACGTATTTCTTAAATTAATAAGCACAGTGTTTTTTTTGGTACAGACACACAAAGAAAAAATCGTTGAACAAATTAACTGGATTTGACATCAGAATGTTAGCGCCAATGCTTGCCCTAAATTTAGTCAAAAATGATAAAAAGTATAATATATATATATATATATATATATATATATATATATATATATATATATATATATATATATATATATATATATATATATATATATATATATAGACACACACACATTTATATATTGCTCTGTTTTTTTGTATACATATATCTATGTATGTATATGTATATTTCATCATTCTGATGAGCCTACTGATGAAACAAGTTGTTGAAGAAAAAAGTTAGATAAGTGTTTTTACTAAGTGAATACTTTTATATTATTATGTATATTTTTGTATTCTTAAAAAAGCGCTCAATAGATAAACTAGAGTTACATAATATATATGTTACTGTTACCCGCAGTACCAGGAATCAGCTAAAGGCTAATATTTATAATAGATTATTGCTACTTAGAGTTTCATATATTATCAAAATTATCAAGCAAGTAGTAAAAAGTTAATTTTGTTGTCTTTTGAATAGGAAATGTATATAGCACTACAAATGTAAGCTAATTCTTAGAGGCCGCGCATAAATGTAAGTTCACAATTTTTTTATTACACATTTTATTTACGTGTAAATTTTTGCAAAGTTTAAATCAATTTTCACTGGTTGGAGCTTATGCAATACACATGGAGTAAAAAGTGAATTTATATTTATGTGTGACCATTAAGAATAAGCTTACATTTCTAGTGTCACAAATTGCTTTTTGATAAATAAGCAGATTAGTTTACCCACCCAAGTGTTCCTTGTGCTAGATGGTCACCAAAACTAACAGCCGCTTCCTTTTTCAATTCTTAATTCGTGGTGTTCAGCGACTAGTTGTTGTTATATAAACGTATTAATATTTAAAAATCTCAAACAAACTAATTTATAAAAAACTAGACCAACTATAATTTAGTTGGTAAAAGAAAAATGAAAAAACATCGTCTTATTTCTCCAATTTATGTTATATTTGAATGTTTTGTATGTACGATTATAAAAATAAGTGTTAACGTTCAAATAACACACGTTTGTACGTGTAACATGTTCACGTTACACATGTATGTATGATTAACGTGAATTGAATTTTTTTACCTAAAATTGACCTGAATTATTTTTTTTTTTTTGATAGGTACCATGCGGCCGGACCTCTTGTACAATCACAAAAAACGTACTATCAAACAGTCTTCTATATTTGACTCTTCCAATGACGATATTAAAGTTCAGCTTGCAAAATCGCTCGCTCGAAATACCAGCAACAAAAACTTAAAATTAACACCTGCACTCTGTCCTCCGTTTGGGGTAATGATAAAGCCGAAATTGAAGCGTAAAAGCATATCCGCTACTGAACCTGAAAGCAATATTAGCGAAGAAACTCAAACTATAAATAGTCTTTCGTCTACAAATATATACAATAAATCTTTATCAGAGCCTTTCGAAATAACGACAAGTTCTTCAAAAACAACGACGGATCCTTATAGAACAACCACGGATTCTTATAAAGCAACAACGGATTTTCAATCTTCCTTTAATGAATTAGAAACAGATATTGTACTAAGTAAAAATTCGTTAAAGGAACTTGAAAATAAAACATTAAACTGTGGTCATGCTGTTGACCACGATGGCGGTGCTGAAGGTATCGATGACGGTGACGGTGTCAAAGGTAAAAATTCAACCTATAATCTTATTGTTGACTGCGATGACGGTGCCGAAGTAAGACATTCAAATTTTTCAAAATTATATAAAAAAGAATTGTTAGTTGACTATGATTCTAGTGGAGCCGAAAGTTAAATTAATTTTATATGTGGTGTGTGTACAATATATTGTAATATATTTAGTGAATTAGCGAATGAAGACGAAAGGAATCCCCTCTAGTTAACTCCGTTTTCAGAAATTTTATTATTAACTTTTTTAATCAATTACGATAAAAGTTGTTAAATTTTTTGTTCTACAATACATATTAGAAACAATCGAATTGAAAGATTTAAAAATATCTAAGAATGTTTATATATAAAACTTCACCATATGCTAAGAGATAAAAAAAAATTTATTATAACATGAGCAAAATATTGCAATGAGGACGCGCTACTTTTAACTCCTCTCGTCAAGCTAAAAAAGATGCTTGCGTTTTTTTTTTTTTTTTTTTTTGTTTTATTTATTTATTTTTTTGTTTTTTTGTTTTTGTAAAAAACCCTTAAAATGTTTTAAATATGTTCATAGTATAATAACATATATAATGGTAACACGTAGACACTATTTCTTCAGTACAGACCAAAAACAAAAATAAATGTTTAAAGAGTGTTATCTAAAGAGTCCAAAATAAGAATGAAATCATTAAAATTAGGAATAAAAATTATTATAAAGGTTTTTACTCAAAACGTGATAACCAATAATCTAGACAGAATTTAAATAACTATAAAAAAGAATAATTTAATAAACTTATAATCATTCCTATTAAGTTACAAATTTAAATTTTTATATGTATTAATGAAAATTTTATTTGGTTATAAATAAAAAGGCACATACGACGAAGATTCGCTTAGGAAACGAGTGTACGTATTTTTGAATTTGCATCCAGATAAGAACAAAAAAATATTGTAAACTATTTTCAAATGGAAATCAAACCGAAATCTGATATGTATAATATACTAAAAAGTAAGGAAGACAGTATACGAACAAAAAGAAAATTTGGAAGTGGTCGCAGAGCTAAAAAGAAGTCTAAAAATTAGATGAAGCGTCTAAAAAAAATCGATTAATCAAAAAATTTTAATGCGTGGTCTTGCAAAATGATATAGAACGACTGTATACATAAGTGTGTAATATGCAAGAAGAAAAATGTGCCAACAATAAAATAAAAAAGAACGATGGTATGGTGACCGAAAAATGAAAATTCCGTAATACGGAATAAATGAATAAAAAGTAAAGAAGAAAAATCATTTAAATGTGATCTAAAAAACTATGGACATGGATATATAGTCAAAAAAATAAACTTCTTATAACTAAACAAGAAAATCAATAAACATAACTCAACCATTGAACATAACTCGACCATTAAGCATAACTCAACCATTAAACATAACTCAACCATTAAAGATAACTCGACCATTAAACATAACTCAACCATTGAACATAACTCGACCATTAAGCATAACTCAACCATTAAGCATAACTCAACCATTAAACATAACTCAACCATTAAACAGAACTCGACCATTAAACAGAACTCGACCATTAAACATAACTCAACCATTAGATTACTACAAGCACCTAAATCACCATAACACCCAAATACAAAAAAATTTAAAAAGCTTAATATTAAAAGTTTTAAATCCAAACGGTTTTCTGAGACAAGACATCATGGTCTTCTTTGAGTTTCCGTATTCTTTATTCCTTATTTTTATTGATATATTCATTTGTATATATATCTTTTTATATTTTATATATTGTATAAATATAAACAATAAGTGTAACATAGTTAATGGAAAAACAGAAATAAAAAAATAATAATAATAAACTAATAGTCTATTTAAAAATGAAAAGTAACAACACGTAGTGTTTTGAAAAAATAAATCAATTACAATAAAATTATCTCCATAATGCTGGCTATTATTCTTTTTCTTTTTTTGTTTTGTTTTGTCTGTTTATCTCTTATCTTGTACTAGAAACGCTGACAAAATAAAAGTCGAAAAATATAAAAAGCTTTTTTGCATATTAAGTAAATTAATATAAGTTACATAACATTTTTTTAAAAATCCATAACTATCCTTTAACTATTAAAATTATTTAACTATTAAATCTTTATTAATGTTAACATTTGAAAATTTAAAAACTGATTGGGAATATTTTTTTTTATATGCAAATATTTAACTTCAAAATTTCAAGCGATCAAAAAGACTTTATTGATCTTGATAAAAAGTTTTCTTTTTTTGATCGCTTGAAATAGGATTGATCTTGAATTTTTTTTTCCCTGATTAACAAATTTTGTCTTGCAAGACAAAAAAAAGGCATGATTGTCAGGAGTTTTATGAATACAAAAAGTAACAAATCAGGATCAAGAATAGAACCTTGCAATACCCAGAAGTTACTGGAGTTGAAAAAGAGTGTTGGCCTTTGAAGAAGACTTTAATACTGCGGTTAGAAAGAAATGGTTTAATAATTTTTAATACTTTCCCAGATACAGCATATGAAGCAAATTTATGGAGAAGACAAGTGTACCGTTGAATGAGAAGATCGAAAACAAATACAATAAAGCTTTCTCCCTAATGATGTGTCCACCAATCGATACATTTCTTCAAGTGCGTTCATAAACCATTTATAGGGTAGATTAAGGTAATATGAGCACCTTGGTAATATGAGCATACTTAAATATTTCTTAGATGTAAGCAGTGAAGTTAAAGTTGCTTTGTATTTTTTGAATCGATTTTATGTGGTGATAACAGAATCAGTATAATTAGCGTAATTATCGTTCTAAAGTTTGAGTTAAAAAAATTGAAAAAATAATGAACTGGTTATTTTTTTGCGTGGGAAACTAGAGATATATCGGAATTTTGTTCAGACCGGAATTCGAACGGAACTTTATGGTTCCGTCCGAATTCAGGAAGGAACGGAATTCGCGACTTTAAGGTTATTCCGGTTTCGGAATTATAATATTTCAGGTCGGAATGTCAATATTATTTCTTCCTTTATTTGTTTAAGACATTTGACACAGGCTGTGTAAATTAAATCAAAAATCATTGTCCTACAGGGGTGAAGAACTATGGGTTAACCTAGGTGAAAAATACAAAATTCTATGTTTTATACAAATACAATGTAAATTTAGGAAAAGCTATAGTTTAGCACTCTAAATAATAATTATATATTTTTCGCCTGATGCGCTCTCTTTAGTGGAGAGTTTTTAAACATTAGAAATTTTAATTGCTGATTGCTGATTTTAATTTTGATTGCTGCACTATGCCGAATCCTCAGTCAATGCAGCAGCACTTCCTTGTAAAAGCAGGCTATAAGATAGTCGATTTAGCAACGCTCCCTTGTATCAGCAGGCTATAAGATAATGGATATAGCACTCTTTTGTAGCATCACTCCCTTGTAGCAGCAGGCTATAAGATAGTTGATGTATGTACTAAAGCCAATAAATGTTCTGTTTATATTAAAAAGTCACCACTTTGAGCAAGTCTCCACACGAAAGTGCAATAAACGATAAAATAAAATTATTTTAGACTATATATCTGTAGTTTTGTCTATTTTTATTTGCAGCAGTGGTCGGTTTTAGGGGGGTTTATAGGGTAGTAGCCCCCAGTGCCGGATCAAGGGGGGTTATTGCACCAGGTCCCGCAAAAGAATTTCAAAATTATAATTATTAGAGAAAAATATATATTTTTAAAAAATTTTTATCCCCTCCCTCCTTTAAAAGAACCACAAGCCTCCTAATATCAAAATTTTTTTTGTTTTTTTTTGTTTTTTTTTTTTAATATTTTAGAGAAAAAGATTTTTCAGCTTAACTTTAAAAAGATGCAAATAAGTAGGTAGATCAAAATTAAAATTAGGTAAAACAATTTTGCTCCAGAGATGGTGCACGACAATCAATGCAAAGTTGGTTAAAATTTGTTCGACAAAAAGGCTCATATAGAAGGTTGTTATTTCTTAGAGAGTATTTATTAGTAGGTTTCAAGGTAATTAAATCATTAAAAACGGCAGGAGAAAGATTGTTAAAATTTGTTCGACAAAAAGGCTCATATAGAAAGTTGTTATTTCTTAGAGAGTATTTATTAGTAGGTTTCAAGGTAATTAAATCATTAAAAACGGCAGGAGAAAGATTGTTTTTACATATACAAACCATAAAATATTAAAAATATTAAGTTCGTAAATATTAAGTATTCTCATTTCATAAAAAAGTTGTTTAGAGTAAGAAAAACGATCAGCAAAATTAATTAAATGTATTGCATGTTTCTGACGGCGATAGAGAGATTGTAACTTACTTTTTTCAGTGCTTGCCCAAGCAATATTTGCATAATTCATATAGCTATGAATGAATGCATAATAAAGTTGGGATAAAACTTTTTTATTTATATAGATCCTGGCCTTATAAAGAACTCCAATATTTTTTGAAACTTTAGTACCAACATAATCAATATGTTGCTTCTATGTGATGTTCTCATCAAGGAATACACCTAAAAATTTTGTGATACAATCTCTTTTTATTTCAATTTGGTCAATAAAAATATCAGGTAGAGTCGGGGGTAAATAACCTTTTTTAGTTATCGAATGAAAAAGAATCCATTTTGTTTTTTTTAATATTTAGGGAAAGTTTATTGCATTTAAACCAGCTAGAAATTATTTTAAGTTCTTCATTCATAGTAGTGAAGAGTTTATTAATATTGTTATGAGATAAAAATAAATTAGTATCATCCACAAACATAATACTTAAAAGATTAGAAGCTTTATGCAAATCATTAATGTATATTAAAAAAATAAGTGGCCCCAAAATTGATCCTTGCGGAACATCAAACGAAATATCTAAAACATTTTTTGATAAGGATCTTTTAAAGAAACGAATTGTTTTCGGTTTGTTAAATAACTTTTAAACCATTTCAAAATTACACCATCCACTTCATAATATTCAAGTTTATGAATCAAAATGCTATAATTTACTGTACCAAATACTTTTGATAAATCCAAAAAAAACCTAAAGTGAATTGTGAATTTTTGAAAGAGTTAAAGATTTCACGGACGAATTGGATGATTGCATGCTCAGTAGAACTGTTTTTTTTAAAACCAAACTGATTTTTATAAAAAAAGTTCTTCTTCTTAAAATAAGTATATAATCTATTGTAAATAATTTTTTTTATTTAATTAATCTTTAATTAACAAACACTTAATCTTTCATCTCGAATCTCATAACCAACTTTCTGATCATCAATATGGATTTCGGTCTTCTCGTTCTACGGTTGATTTGCTAACAGTAATAACCGATAGGTTTTATCACGCATTAGATAA